TAGTAATATGATAATATTGAGATATAGTAACGTGAGAAATGATCTCTTCAGTATCTCCCGACAACGTGTCTCAAATGTTCTCTTTATGTACACGGTATATGTATAGCGGACGATAAAACACACGTACGTCGAAAGCCCTACTCTAAACGGTCACACAATGCGGAAAGGGGGTTTCGTAAATGCGCTGGATGCAGACAGAACACCGCTGTCGATATTCCCGTAAAATTAATTACACACATTTTGATGAGTTCTTTGATCTGTTCACGGAAACGCGCACTGCCCTATGCTAACAAGTAACGTTCAAAGCTAACAACAACAACGTAACAGTACACGCTGCATAATGCCCACTGATTATTGGCTCTTTTGCCCTTTCGATTCCAGTGACCATTGTTGCGTCAACGATGAAGAAAAATATTATCCGACAGTCGGGATTTTTCGCTGAAGTAAAGCGTTTAAAACGTTTATAAGGCGAGCGTCGATTTCCGTTTGATTATTGTTTCTTCTTTTCTTCTGAAGGAAAGGAAATATCCGTCAAAAATACGCCCTCTCGGCGAAAATTTTGATTTACCGTTTGAAAACAGAAGGTGAAAAGCGACGTTTTCCTTATATTTTGATTTCGTAAAATTACCGGAAGAAATGACGTTTTGATTTCGAAATTTTCCGCTTCTCGCCTGTATCCAGCTTCGTGATACAATAATGATTAGGGATGCTAGTTAGATTTGATTAGACACTTTGATGAATTACACTCGTTTTGATTACAGTAGAAGAAAACGGTTGGAATGAGGGAAGGGGGAGCGGGAGGGCACTAAACATCGGCGAACATTGGGAAGGGCCCGCGGTACGAGGAAGGGAGCCTTCATCGTCGTCTCAATGTCCGCCGCGCATTATATCCTGCATTTTGATTTCGGGCTGTCAGCCATTGTTTATAATAATATGTACTTTAGTATAGTATACATCGTTATACGTTTAGATCTTAGTGATATGAGAACAACAACCGAATCCCGGAAGATCCTCTTATTACGTTCGCGCGTGCGAAATGAAAATCGAGCGAGAATCGGTTATACAACACGATCGGACTCACCCACAACGATCGATGGATTCCTCGACCGCGACGAATTTGTAATCGCTAACGTTAGGATCGGAGAGGACACCCTGGTATTTCTGTGAGTTTTCCTCCGTGACAAACGTAATAGCAGGATCGCGTCTCGTCCCCGAAATTATTCTCAAGCCTCTGCGCGCGACCCTCGTTGTCAATTCGAACTAAAAATCGTACAGTTATCTTAACACGAGCACTAAATGATCCTTACGGTTTTATAACAATGATGGTTTGTTTGTCTCTCCCTCTTTCTCTTTAGCCGTTAGCATTCTCTCTCCCTCTCTCGCGTTTGTTAATCTACTTCGCTCTCGTGCACTTTGGATCTACGCCGAGTCGCACCAATGTCCGAATTAGGTCGGATCGTCGATATCCCTGGAATTTCCTTTCTCTACACATTCCTACCTGTAAAATACACTCTATAATTCTCGGTATATCATTCGGATCCGTTAGAACCAATTTAGTTTCGAAATTTTTAAACAGTTTCAACTGTTTGTAAAGATTAATATTTAACTTTAATTTCTCAGAGGTTTTCTTCTAAAGAACAAAGGAAGACTTTCTTGGGTCTTTTGTTTAAATAGAATAAATTAATATTAACAAGGAAAGGCAAGTAAGAGTCCTAAGTTATTTATTTAAGCAACAATTTAATTAATAATTTTCCAAATTACTTAATATTGAATAAAACATTAAATAATACAGAACGATAATATAACGTATGTTTCGAATGTAAGGATTTCCTTATTTCAAACTAACATTTGGAACCTTTACAATTAGAATAAATTACATTCTCAATTTAATGAACTCACGATGATACACCGAGAGTAATTCGGTAATCGGAGATCTTCTTTTTCTCGTCCATCTATTCCAGGTATCGGAAATTCTTCTCGATATTCGAATTTATTTTTAGAAGAATTTCGTTCACGCGTGAGAACGCGCCACGGTTTTACCACTTCCCGTTCGCCGTGCGAATTCTCTTTTAATCTACGGAACTTCTCTCCGGGAAAACGGTGGCTCTCGAACGAAGAGAGAAAGGAAACAACCGCGATCTTCGATTACCGCAGGTGCGACTCGCGTTTACGCGCGACTCATGCGTCCGTGCGTTTTTTTTTTTTTTTACATAGAGAGATACCCGTTACGAGGTATATAGCACTTGGAGAACATGGCACATTTAATACGTCGAGGGATAGCTGTCGCTGACCGCGTCTCTCCCGGCGATCCGATAACAACCCCCCGTGTTTATCTCTCGGCATCAAACAACGCGCACGCGGCATGCATATGCATGCGCGCGCGCGCGTATGCAAAACTCCGATCGAAAGTCCCGCGAGAAAGATTCGCGAGAGTCTCGCGGTCGCTCGCTTCATCGTCGCTCGGGGCGTCGCAATTTTTTTTCCTTCCCCCCCTTTTTTTTTATTAGTCCGTCCCGACGCCGTATTAACAGATTTCCATCTCTCCGTTGCGTCCTCCCCCGCCCCTCTTGTTTTTCAAACTCTCATTTGCAAAGCTCATTCGCTCGACGAGCGAACGACCCCTCGTTAATTGTAACGAGAGTGCAATTTCGCGCGCGCTGATCAATTAACGAGCGACTCTCGAGCGATAATTTGGGAAACGTTTCTGAAACTCCTCGGGGATGTTTGCGATTTTCGCGAGAAAAACAGGAGGAGTTTGCGTCTCGAATATTTTCGCGTCTGTGAAACGTACATTTTCCCTTGATGTGAAATCGCGAAACAGGCATTATCGCCGCGCGATCTTTCGAGGACTTTTCCCACCGGAGTACACGAGCAGCAATATGGTAACGATGATATGTTCATTATTCGAAATTATAACATTTAATTAACTATATCATCCCAAAGCAGCCTCACTCGTTACTCAACGAGAGTGCGGGTAACGTTGCTTACGCGGCCGTTATTGCTAAACTATATTAATTCAGCGGTATACATTTAGCTAAAACGCGATTGTTCGACGGTGAATCTCGTCATGCGGATCGCGTCGATCCAACGACGTTCAATTACTGACTAATCTCGTCCGGCTCGAACGCGCGGTGTGAATAATTCTACCTACCCCTACCTCTCTTTTCTCCTCTTCCCCACTAATGTGTAACAAACGTATCTCGACGCGCTGGAAAATCTCGAGCGCGTCCCGCTTAAAAATAAAACCCACGCGCCTAACATTCCCCGTCGACCGTCCCGCGTCCGTTCTGCGCGGAAAGAAACAAACGCTTGCGAGTCCACGATCGCCGCGATCCTGCCTTATCTCGGGCCTCTTAATGGATGCATCGCGTGCCGCCGTCAAGCCGGGGGAAAATCGTAAATATTTATGGGCCGCGTACGGAAAATTGCCGATTAATATTCAGTGGCGTGTGTGTGTGCATATTGCTACGTAAAGGGAATAATTGATAAAGAGATAAAAGGCAATGCAGAGAGGGAGCACGAAACGACGACGACGACGACGTCGACGTCGACGACGGAAATTATATATTGCGCGGGAAGATGGACCTTCGAAGTGAAATTAACACGGAAATCGAAAAGAGAGAATGAAGGAGAAAAGAAAAACGCTCCTCGGAGCGTCTCGGAGCTTTACCTTAGTCTTCCTTTTTTTTTTTTACGATTCACAGGCGAGATGAAACCAACTCCGAAAAGATCTGCCTCGGCTGCGAATCCACGGCTGCTTCATCCCTCAATTCGATGCTGAGACGAATCAATTCCGAACACGCGAGTCCCGTCTCCTCGAATCCGCATCCGCAGATTTCAACCCGCGGATTTCGAACTTCACTCATTTCGGTTTATCGAAACTCGTATGTATATATATATATATATGTGTGTGTTATACAATGTGTATATAAATTCGCGCATTACGTAAAAGTTTCCCTTTAAATATAGATTTACGCCATAAATATCTTAATATCACACTCATACACATACACACACACACACACATACACATTGAATACGATACACATTTAATATATGTTCCAAATATTCCGGATAAAACTTCCACATTTGAAGTTAACCTCGTCGATCTCGGCCGCTTCAAGCGATCGGGTCGTTGATCAATTGATATTCCCCCCTATCGTAAATGTATCCACCTCAGCGTTCCTCAAACGCTTCGGGATCTCCTAATCTTTGTCCTGTTTGTAGGTAGTGCGAAAATTTCGAATACTTCGATACTTTGCGCGCACACACACACACACACACACACACACACACACAAACATACCGAATATGAGATTCATACACAAATACTAATAAGATCTCCGCTAACTCTCGGGATTTCTTAAGTTCCCTTAAGCGTTAAATGGTTAATTAACGTTCCTCCTTATAAATACATCTGGCGACGTTCAAGCACCTCGAATCATCCTAATCTTTGTCCTCTTCGTAGGTAAAGCGAGAACGTGATTGCCGTGCGAGAGAGCGACGATCGCCTTCTGGCGCGACGTCACGTTCCTTATGAGAGTACTACATAATAGCGGGAAGCAGGTAATAGTGTCTCACACGCATTAGCACGCCTCTCTCTCTCTCTCTCTCTCTCTCTCTTTCAGACCTGTATCAATAGTTGTCAATTAAAACTTATTTCATGTGAGATACTCAGGTTTTAATTCAGGGTTAGACCTGAGTTCTCCAACTGAATCGTACACAGTAAGAAACATTTTGTACTTGTGTTAAAATCGGTCCTTGTTAAAATTTTTGTGTTAAATTTTTAACACACCCATGCGCGTTAATTTAACATATTATATTCATATTATCTCAGTATTTTGTGTTGTCAATATGGAATGTATGCAAGTATTAAAATAACATATTTTATACTTCAGTGTCGATTAGCGTATTAATTTTGTATTAACTTTTAACGTAATATTTGTGTTATTTTTCGACATATTCACCTTGTTAAATTAGCACAAGGTTAAATTAACACGAAAATTCAAGTGAGCCGTTTGGATCATGTGTGAAATTTAACACCGAATTTTTCACTCTGTATATGACACATCTGACATTACACCTGTAATTGCGATGAAACTCTCGTCTAATGATTGAATTCGAGGGTGAGTATCTCACTTAAGGCAAGTTTCAAGTAACAACTAATAACACGGACCTCAATCGTTCACTCACTCGCTCACGATATCACGCTAATTTCACGCATACGAGTTACACATATGTACAAACTCGCGCTTGCGAACTATTTCGCATTACTTACCCGACACCCGTTGGGTCTAGCGGGCGAATTGTCTTGAAGCGATCGATAATGGTATACCATGTACGCGCGACACTCGCTGTGTGATAATAAACACGGCTAGCTCCTGTGCACACCTTCCTGTGTGTGTTGACGCGAAATCAGAAGCAGAAACTCTCGGGCTGCCGCCGCCGCCGCCGGGATTCCCTGATTCTCGCGTGCGCCAGAAGGACTCGAATCTCCGCAACCGCCGCAAAACGACGAATGGAAGTCCGGAAAATATTGGATTTAATAACACCGACGCTGCTGGATACACACGGACAGCGGAATCCGGGATCCTCGCCGGCTACTTCGTCGCTGCGGATTCTCGGGGAAGCGTGAACTCCCTTAATGAAAATCTTCACGGTTCGCCTGACCGTTTTAATTTCCAATATCAAAATTGTCTCGGATTCAATTAGAAATTACATTAAAGTTATCAGCGTCGAACTTACCGTGCTCCCCCCGCCGCGAAATAAAATAAAATCTCTCTTTTCCTCCGGCTCCGCTCTTCGAATCGCGAAGCTCTTTCCCTCTCTCTCTCTCTCTCTCCCTCGATCTTCCGCGGCCAAAGAAGCAGCGTGATTCGTTCGCGATGATCGATCGGCAAGCGTTGCCGCGCGAATTGCAACCGCTGCTGCTATTCGCTGTCCGCCGATCTCGCGGTGAAACTTCACGCGGAAACGCGACGTCTGACACTGCGAGCGCGCCTGACTTACCTGCGGGAAATTATATGTACAATTTCGCGGGGAGGAGACTGCGAGGAGTCGCGTCGACTCGTCGCTCCACGATCGCTGAGAAACGCGAACTAAAAGGCGACGGCGGCCGGCTAAACGGCGAACGGCGTCGTCGCTCCGGGAGCTGTTCGCAGGGAAAAACAGAGGTTCAGGGCGAGAACGAAGGCGCAAAGGAACCGCAACGGGAAGGCCGATCGCCGTCCAGCGTGAAATGAGTCGAAGCTGCACGATTTTCTCTGGATCACCCCCTTCACCGACGACCACGCGGAGACCTTGAGGAATTTACAAGGTCATACGTGGCGAACGGTGGAGGGGGTCGGGCCGCTATGCTTGGTCCACCTCGTGACAGACCTCCATGTAATCCGGGTTGTGCATTATGTCCTTTATCATGTCCTTCAATATCGTGTAACGTGGAAACATCGGGTACACCTTCGAGCTGTTGTACTCCTCCTGGAAAAATGGGAAAATTATACGGACGATTAATAAACGCTGCGCGTTCCTGATCTGCACGGAAAGAAAAAATTAGTCAATTCAAGATTCATATTCTCATCATATATCTAAGCAAGAATATACAATCTAACATGAAGAAATTCCCTATAGTTTCATTAGGGATATCGTATTCATGTTATTCAGGAATAATTTTCATAAATTGAGAGGAAAAAATATCGTATAGAAAGGAGATATTTTTAAATTAAGAACTGTATCAGTTTGAAGATACCGTTCTCTCTGTTCAATATTTTTTTTTCTTCATGAAAATTAATCCTGAGTAACCGGAATATGATTTTTTCAATGGAACTGTATGAATTTATGTGTAAGCAAGTTTTATTTTCATATAAGATTATATGTTCTTACTTATACGTAAGGATATATAGAGGAAACCGAACGTTGTAAATTAGGGAGTGAGAATAGGCTCAATTTCCGTGTTTAGGCTATCGGTTCATGATATGAATATAGAAACTAATTTCTGATTAATAATTAACCAACTACAGGTCCGTTTGAGTGTAAAATTCGACGCGGCTTCGAGTTACCGACAATTTAGAGAGTGTTCGCGGAAAGATCAAAGGGCGAGGAAAGGCAGTTTACTTTGTGATATTATGGCGCCTACGGTCGCCTTTAATCTTCGATTTATTTGACACTGTATGGAGGAAGAAAGGGTGCAACGAGCAGACGATAACCGCCGACGGGGTAGCAACCTTGTAACAGCGGCAGTACGCAATTATTGGAACGTAAGAGGGAAAAGGACGATCGTAACAATGTCTTAATATAATAGCCGGTGTTATGTTCCGCTGTTGAACAGTGACGCTTTTTACGATCGTAGTCGAGGAGCCGATAAGCGATACGACCGCACAAGGATCCCGGAAATATCTACTTGGACGATCGCAGATTGCGCGTTATCATACGGAAGTATATTCCATTCTCTCTTTGATGAAAACTTTAATCCGATTTCCTCGTCAAGATTTACTCGACGTTTGAATGGAAAATTACTCGACCTTGTGTGAAAGATTGTAAAAGAATGTCTTAATAATGTCATTTCGTTTCATTTATTGCATATAATAATAATGTCAGGCTAAAAGTGAAGAAGCGTTTTCAGACCCGACGAGAAACATCGGCTTCTTTAATATGCTAACATCCAGCGGGTTATTAAAAAATATCTTCTACGGAGAACCGGATATATTGGATATTTTGTGCTCGGTGATTTTGAACGATAATTTTCTTAAAACACTCGCGACAAGTTAATCAGTCCGAGAAAATCAATCTTATTTTTGGCGGAAGGAAGTTAGCGTCCATTTTCAAGAGAATAGAATATTTTTCTTATTTATCTGGTATCAAAGCGGTAGTAGGTACCTTCAAATCCCTGATGAGGTTCCTGAGACCCGTGTATTTCTTCAACAACCTGTACAGATCGTTGGTCATCTGTGTGTTCTCCGCTTCGATCTGTGCCGTGATCATATCTGCGCAAAGCGCGTCATATTTTATTATGATCTTACAGCTACTTTTTTCCACCTTCTTTTCTAATTTTTTTCTACTATGCTTGTCTACAATGCTTCTCGCAAATTATGCTTCGAACAACCAAATGGATAAATCTATTTTTTTCGATTAATTTCAAGCGGATTTTATTTCAACAGAAGCTTAATTTAGAGCTTAGCTATAAAAATATGTTGAAAGTTGGAAAGTCGTCATAAATAATAATCCCTTTCGACAAAATAGCTCAGGACTTTACGATTTAATTTTTTATGAGATGTAACGCTACGTAAATAGTGGGCATTAATTAAGAAACACCCTGTATAAGTGTCAATGAAATTAATAAAATTAAAGATCCGGAGTAATCGCTATGACTGTCTTTGTTTAATGACGTCAGAAGCGAGATCACACAATGACATTTGTGATTGACTCAGCACATTTGTCAAATTTGCTGGACGAACACTTTTCTTTTACTCGAACAATCAATGAATAGTCGCAAAATTAATTCGACATGGAACTTTCTTCCCCAACCTCTTTTCTCATGATTTTATCAATGTTAATTTTACGGCTACTTATTGATTATTCGAATTTGCTGAATCAATCACAAATGTCATTTTATGGATATATCTTCTTACTTGAAAGTATAACGCAAAAAATTCTGGCATAAGTTTTCCCGTTTCTGACGTCATTAAACACGGACAGTCACAGCGACTACTCCGTGGCCTTAACAAAGCATGCTTTTGTCCATAAACAAAAAAGAAAATCCGAGCACAAGTCCGACTCTTCTAGATTCAGGAAGATAAAACAGATATCTTAGTACGTTCGATTTTCCTATCCAAAATCGATCCACACGTCCCGGACTGAAATAGTCCGGAATTTTACGATCGCACGAGAAAAACCGCGGAAAATATTTCTCGCTGCGATTGCACGGCGCGCGAAATTCGCTCGCTCAGCTGAGCGCAGACGTAACATATTTTTAATTTTTTACAATTAACAAGGCGGAGGCAAAAATGAACCACATCGAATACTGTTGCACGCGGTCGTGTCGACGTGAGCCCGCCTCTCTGGTTCTACCGAAGGGCATTAATTAACGCTCCGAAAAATATTGCTCTCGCCAAGAGCCGGATGAAAGCCGCCAGAAAGAGCCAGATGAAAGCGGACAGAGATATTGGCCGTTAATGCGCGTTTATGCGCGCCGTGTATCAAACGATGCACCACCACCGACGTGGCACACATTCGATATTAGATCGTTTTCTACCGGACGTGGATATCCTCGAATTTCCTCCAAATTTTATCTCAACAAATTTTATCTCCGAAACATCGCCCTGAACATTTTCGCTGTTCATCGATCAATTTACACGTTTCCGCTGCGAGCAGCGACCGACCATAGAATACACCGCAATAATACACGTATTTCGCTGTTTTTTTTTCTTTTTCCTTTACTTTTTTAACGAGACGTCTAAAAATATGAAGTGACTCGATTGGAAAAATATGGAGGATGGAAGGCGGGATGAAACAAAATAAGGTAAAATAAATGGTACAAGGAAGATAAATTGGAAATAAAGGAGAATATAAATGTGCAAACGTTCGTAGAATTTCCGGTCGATCGGGCGCGAGTTAATCAATTAGTTCGTGCCGTTAGTATCGAGTGGTTTCAACTCGATCCCCGCATTCCCGCTGCCGCGAAACGAAGGAGAGGGTCCTTTGATTAAGCAGAGGCCGGTGTAGCATTGTAACCGCACGAGCGCGCACAGAATATTTTTAATTGCGACGATCGCGCTATCGGCAATTTACGTTGCTAATAAGCTATTCTCCTACCCGCCGGCGTGATTTATGGACCCGCGATATAATCGTGAGCGGGCAATTGCGCAACAGTATCGCGAGAATGTCGCCCGTTCGTTTTATTTTCGGTACCTCGTCGCGGAAGAGACACGGCGAATAATTTTCGAATAATTCAGCGTGCGAATCGCGATAATGAAATACCATAAATCTCCGGCGCTCCGGAAAAATAATGAATATTGTCGAGTACGAGGAGAGCATCCGTTGAATATTTATGAGACAACGCGCAAAAGAAAACCAGTGTGTAAAAACAGTCCCGAGAAGAAAGAGATTAATTCCTTTCTTCGCCCGCGACTTTTGTTTCGCCGAAAATTTTTATCTCCCACGAGGAGTCTCGAGATTCTCCTCTCTCTCTCTCTCTCTCTCTCTGAAGTCGTTCTCCAATCCGATGGAATCGATCTTCTCTGCCTCTGCGACGAATAAAATTTCTCTCATGCGATATCGATAATCGGATAGCGGAGGCGATTTAATATTGGCAAGAACAGCTGAATGTACTGAAATCGACGGTGAAGTATAACGATTACACTTCGCCCCGACGGGGCAACGGACTATTGTCTTCGTTGCAGTACATACGACGGAAAATAATATACCGTACGCGCACAGAGACTCTCGAGGGACAGGCCGGGGTAATCAACGAGCGTTTACGCAAAATTCGTGTAGAGAGGGAAAACTCGGAGTCGTCTCGTGTTGAACGAAGCAAGCGTGCAATGTACAAGTAATTAATTGATATCCTCCAGACTGGTTACGACGGAATATCGAAGATCGTGTGATAATTTCAAAGTTTTCACTTTTTACCATTTCCTTTCATAAAACACTTTATGAAACGTTTAAACTTATTAGTCGATTGTATAATGGCAATATAAATAATATTAATAGATAATGATTTTTCTAAAAATATTAATTTTTTTAACATGTGTTTAACATATGTTTTTAACATGTCACGCAGAATATGCTTAGAAACAAACTGACATACTTACTAAATCGTAAATATTTCATATTTAGTTTAGATTATACTGTTTCCATAAAGCGTATTATTTACTTTTTATGTTGTAAAGAAGGGAATAATTTACCATAATTATGCAATAAAAATCCAACCCATAAAATTAGGATTTTTTAGATTTTATTACCAATGGGTAGTCTATACATCTTTCTATATAAAACGAAAAGGTCCAAGCATTATGGATGCCTGAAATTAATTAAAAAACAGTTCTTTTATTTTCTACTAGTTCTAACATTTTTACTAATTGCGTCTCTTTTGTCAATTTTTTTTAAAGTTAAGCTTATCAATGAATACCCTTAAAGAAAAGAAAATGGACTATGCTTGACTTCTTCAATAAAGAACCTCAGCGTTATTTATGCTTTTTAAATCATATATTAAATTTTCATCGTTTTCCTCGAAATGTACTCTATGCAGATTGGATTGCTTTTTTTGCATAACTACGGCCAATTATACACTGAGAAACCCATTTAATTGATTCAAATTAAATTCTTGTTTGGATATGGGTAAACAAATGTTTTGGTTGTGAGAAGCGAAGTTTGGTTCTTCGAACCAAAAGTTTGATTCTCTGAAAGTAAAATGGAAAAGATTTGATCCAGGGAATCAAACCTACTTTCTCGTTCATTTAATAAAATAATAATAATAAGAAGAAGAAGAAGAATATAAGAAGAAGAATATAAGAAGAAAATAAGAAGAAGAAGAATAATCACCGTGCTACGAAAAAAGAGAGAAAAATGACGGAGGACAATGGCGAAACGTTTTCCTCCTTCGTCGGGTAAGACCGCCGGCTAGCTATTGCTACTCTTAACGGCGACCGGCGACGTCGTTTGAACGTCGACGTCGCGAAAAATCGCACACGGAAACTCACTCTCGAGTCTCTCGATGCGCTCCCGCTTGGTCTCGGCTTCCTCGGCGAGGCGCGCCGACGTCTTCACACCCTCGCCGCTCTTGTGGGTCTTCTCCATGATGGAGCAGGCACGCAGCACGAAGGCCGGTACGGTCTCCTGCTTCTCTTGCCGCGGTATGTCCACAAGCGTCCAGTATTGCGTCTCCAACTTAATTACGTCCTGGAAAGGCGAGACCGTCGGACGTGAGAAGCATTCGTGAGAAAAATCGAGGAAGCGCGTTCTTGATCGCTCCGCTGTTGCAGAAGGATCTTTTGGTGTATCCCCGTGTGTGCTGCGACAAGTTGTCGTCGAGATACCGAAGTTCCGTTCATCGAACGCGGTTTAGAAAACGATCAGTTTTTCTCCCATCGCGCTTCTGACTCTCAACGCATCGTCGACCTATGTTCGCGCGTTACGAGTTATAATTAATGAATCGGAGGTAAAAATATTATATAATATTTCGTTAAGGAATGCTCGAGTCACGTTATTGATATTTTTTTCGTTTCATCCCCAAGGATATACTCAAACACATCCTAAAGCATACTTTACACAACCTTCTAATTCGTATATGTGTTCTGAAGTTTTGCTTGCGGGACTCACGCGCGTGAAGTTGGATTTAATCTCATCATTTGAATTTCACTTCCATCGTAATTGATTTCACTCATTCCAAATCTCCTCTGATTCTCTGACGGTTGACGGAGACACGGCGCAGCTTCAATACATCGACAAATTGCAGGCTCTCGCGAAAGAACGACGATCACGCCCGCATTTATGATGATCTTCCTTTTTTAAATTTGATTCCCCCCGCCCTCTCTCTCTCTCACCCTTCTCTTTTTTCCCCTCACCGCGGCGCGCGAGGCGTCTCAAACAATACATCTCGAGATTACGTAGCCGTCGATAAAACAAAACGGTGCGATTTATAAGGGGCAATTTTATTCCGGTCGCGTCGCCCGAGGATTAATCCCGAGGCTTCTCCTCCGCACACCTTCGGAAGAAAAACTCGCCGGCGTGTTCTCGATTTCGCTCAATACGTACGAACGGACGAGCAGGACGGCGCGATGGTGCCTCGCGGTGGAAGTTTACGCCAGAAACAAACGTCGACGCGTCGGGATATCGACGCTCGCGGGAATACACCCGCGGGACCGGCCGGCGTTCGTGAGAATCGCCGTGTATGCACCTTCGGGGAGAGAAAAAACGAAGCAAAATGAGGAAGTGAGAGAAAAACAGAAACGAGACAGAGAGGGTGGGGAAGAGAAAGAGAGAGAGAGAGAGAGACGGAAGATAGCGACAACGTGGGCTCGCTCGCTCGTCTTTCGCGCTGGCTGCGAACGCGAACGGCAATCGTTTCCTATCTATCGCGTGCATCTCTATTTTGTTGCTCGTCCCGAGCGCGCGATCTATCTGCCACGCCGGCGGATAACAAATGCGCCCGTTGCAACGTGCACTTCGCGTATGTACTTCAAATAAAAATAAAACGGCCGGGCGTTGTGAATCCCTCTCCGTCCTGCGGCCCGTCAGACCGTCCGTTCGTTCGTTCACTCGCCCGTCCAGCTCGTCGTTCGTCGGTTGCTGCTGAGAATTTTGCGCGGGGTTGCACAGCCCGGTCGGATGTTTTGCGCTCTGCTGCTCGCCCACTGATTGACGACATACGTCGTATATATTTTTCAGTCTTCTCTTGTACTTTTCGCGCTTTCTTCGCCTCCTTCGAAATGCTATCGCTCGGCATGTCCCTGCGAGTGTCGGATCGGTTCGCGAGTTTCGCGCGGTATCTTGAAAAAATTCCGAGGCGAAATAATCTCGGTGATCCGAATATTTCGATATTCCCGAAGTTCGTTGTTTTTCGTAAAGTCAGAAAGGTGTTGAAAGAAAATAAACGGATTCCGATCGGAAATCCGCAAATGTTAAAGCGCGAGGGATATTCTCCAAGGTGTCCTGAGGTAGGCGCGTGGATGACACGTGTCAACCGGCCCAGCTTGTCGATATCTCTCGTGGACGATGAAATTCGCTATTTAAACGATCTTCCGCAAGCTAACGTTGCCCTGTCACGAATGACGCGGGAATAGAAAGCGCGCGAAATCGACCCGGGCAAACTCATAGGCGTCGTTTCGACGAGAATACCACTTGGTAAAAACAACGCGATCCTGTTCGCGTTCCTATCCGAGACGAGACTATGTCCGAAGATTAATCCCTCCGTTTTATAGGTCAAATAAACCCGGTGAGTTATGACCGAAGAGCCATAGCGAAGAGAAATGCGTGATCTACGAGTTCTTCCTACTCCCGAAAAATCGTTAGACGTGATAACGGATCCGGTGAGTCGATTAAGACTTGGGAATAACCGCTATATCGGATTCGTGATAAGCTCCGAGAGTCGCGAGATATTGCGTCATTTTTAATTATTACATAATCATGTTCGAAATTACACGCGCGCATGTTGATTAAATTCTCGACAGTTCCTTGAGCAAGAGAGAAACATGCGCGCGAGCGACTCGATTGAGAGTCTCATCGGAAGTGACGCTACGGCTCTCTCAGTTAATCGCTTACCTGCATGAACCGGGTGGCATAATTACAACGTAATTACATCAACGACATGCAGCCTGAGACCGACGCTCCTCGTAGGTGGTTGTGTGCGCGCGCGGTTTCGTGTCTGCGTGTGTCTGTTGTGTGTGTGTCGGGGCCTCGAGCGCACACAAAGTGCTCGTGGGACAAAAACACGTGCTACCACGTGCTACACCCAATTACGCGCGCCGGCACACGCGGTTCCCCCCCGATCCTCTTACCTTGATCATAACTTTGAGGAGGTTGTAACGTTGGAATACGTTGCGTACTTGTTTGCTGTCGGTGTACTTGCACATCAGCTCGACGAGGGCCCTCTTGGCGGTCTCGTAGCTACCGTCCAGCCGTATCCTTACGACTCTCAGCCTCTCGTTCGTCTCGATCACCTCCTCCTTCGTCTGTCCACCTGCGTCCACAGAGACCCGCATCGTAAAGGGTAACACGCCCGGATCTATTATTAACGCTCCGCCGGCCGCGTCGGGTAATTGTAAAATGTGGACGAGCGGCAGCGACGGCACGTCCAACAGCCGAAGATCGATGAAGCGGCAGAATGTCTCTTCTCCCGTTTCTCGCGCGGAATTCTTCACGGGCTCATTTGTAATGTCGGCGATGATATTGAGATAAGGCGAAATTAAGTACGGACGCGGCTTTTCGATTTCGCGGGAGTCTCGAGTCGCCTCGAGAAAACGAGCGATCGTCGCTTCGCTCGGATCGCGGCGCGTTGAGATATGAAACAAAGCGAGAGAGCGGAAGGTAATTCTTTTTTAAAGGTCCTCTCCCCTCGATGCGGTTGCCGTGTTACTGCGACTGTTACGGGATGTTGTTTGTTACTGCGATTCGAACAAATTCCCACAAATTCTCGGCCTCGCGATCTCAATGGAACTCCAACCGGGACACGTTGACGGATGGAGTTGCTTATCGCGCCGTCCGACCTGCGCGATTTATTTACGTTGAAACTTTCGGCGCTATCTGGGTGCCGAGTTAATTGGGAATTAATTGGGAGGACGACTTTCGCAACGCCGTTTTCCACCGCTCCTGATCTAATGGCTCCGTTAAATGGCGAGACGCACGGCGCGATAAGAAGAATCGATAATGCGAGCGCGAAACGCAGTTTGACGCGTTCAAGTGTTCGTAATTGAGAAAAACTGCGTAATAACGAATTAGAGAGTTTTTTTGCTAAGGATGGAGATGTTTTTAATATTGTCTTTATGCATAATTTCATGGAACTATTTACATTAATCTTCGGAGATATCGGAATCAGAAGAAACTTTTCATTATTTCCTCCGCTCCTTTCAGTTAGATCTTATATATACATTGAAAGTAAATAACTGGGAACGAATAACGCCAGAATATTTTATATATATTACAATATCTTTTATATTAATAAACATATTTTTATCATAAATAAATAAATAAATAAACAAATAAATAAATATATATATGTATAATTTTACTATAAATTATATACAATATCTATCATATGATATATATGCAAGTGATTGATCATTTATCGTGATATTATAATTTCGATAATAATATTTGCTAGTTTCCATCTGACTAATTGATTCACTAATTTCCGCTTCAACTCGGGAGCAATCGATATTTAATTATCGCGTTAATTTAACGTTACTAATTAATCCTTATCTCGAGGCGAGACGACTGTACACTTATCGGAAGCACGGAAGTTTCAGCTCTCCAACGAATTTTACCTCAAGCCGCTACGACTTCTAGAAGCGAAGATATCGACGTCTATACCGAACCGCGCACTCGATCGGTTCGGCTCTACCAAACGCAGCAGCACGTGCTGAGTCTCATGATGCGCGATCCCGCGGCACGTTTACGCGACGGAGGACCTGCCCCCACCCCTTAACACGCTGAGCACGTGCGTCCATTCGCATCATTCACGCTCGACACCACGTGGTCGTTGATCCCACACACGCGCGTGCAGCATGTGCACGGCGCACCGAGCGTGCCCAAAACTTTAAAGAGCCGTAACTCACGAACGAATCTACGTAAAGGCGCGAAACAAAAACCGATCTTCTCGGCGCGCGATCCCGCGTGCATTTCTCATTGTTCTTTCATCGTTCACTCAGGAGACGACTGAGGTCAACGTCGGATGAATGAGGAAACTTTCCACGTGACACAGCTTCTCTCACTCGAAAGAACATCTCGCGTGTTTTATAAAAAATATGCTCATTAATTCTGCATTCGAGTCACGTATGTGATAACGTGTTCAACTGATGACGGGACATGAGAAAATATTAGAACAGTTTATTGGAGAAATGACGAATTTTCACCGAATATGAAATATAACGATCCTTAATTCGTCGTTGATACGATACAGCGAAATTTCTATCTATGATTCGATTACAAAGGTATGTGATTTTGAAAATTGGTAAATCGCGAAGGACAACTACTTACTATTTTCCACAATTTCGCGGACATTTACGACGTATCGACGCGAAATTCGCCTATCGGATAAACCGTCGTCGAGATTAAGGTCGCGTGTTGCGGGACGTCCTGTACACGTCATTATCGTATGTTAGGAATTTATCTGATCGCCGTCTCGCAGGCGCGGGAACGTCGACGTCGGAATTAATCATAGTTCCACGTTGATGGGGAAGCGTTAATCTGAACCTGACGGGATTCTCGGCCGGCGAAGTTTCCGTCTATTCAGCTAATACAGCGGCCGACACGCCGTTACTCTCGGCTCGGCCGAATACAAGAGTTTCCGCTTCGATTCCATTCATGGGACAACCAACAACCGTCCGCTTGGCGGCCTGCCAGACACTTATTTCCGAGCGATACGTACGGGATGTCCTCGTCGACGATTGTCCGTCCCGCATTACCATGTACGCGAAAATACATCTTTCGCGAGACTTTAAATTCTTCCGGAATTAAATTAAGAAGACTCGAGCATCAGAGGAATCAGGAATACGAGAAGTCGAGAATTCCGCTGAGCGAAATTCGACTCCGCGCCCGTCGGAAATCGACAAATCGTATTAAAAGATTCTCACAATTGCACATTCAGATATTAGAAAACGGTCTTCTCCACCGTGAAGTTTATCTTTCTCGAAATTCGCCGGGACTTGATCCAATCCGCACGGAATTATCTCGAGAGCGAGATTATCGAAAGAGAAATCATGGGCTCTCTACATGGCCGCGAAGATGAAGCGTATAAAAAAAGTATCCTTAAAGTAAGGCCGCGAACCCGCCGTTCCACGGACTTTTTCCGCGTTTTCGCGGCGAGTAACTTTATTGAATAACAGAGCGATTAACCGAGATAGCGTCTGAACTTTAATTAAATACCCACGTGAGAAATGAGTCCGATAAAATATCGCTGAGACTTACTTGAAGTTCCTTCGTCCTTCACGTCCTGGACGATCCTTCGGACGCTCTGCGTGAATTTGCCCACAAGGTTGGTGCTGGCTGAAACAGACAATTTCCAACGTGAAAAAGCGCTCTAGAGGGTGTGACGCTTCTTGTAATTTTTCCAAATCATTCGTTTGTTACTGAAAGATAATTTTATGCGCAATTATTATTTATAATAAAGTTTTAATTAAGTTATAATAAAGTTATAATTAATACATTCGCTGCCGCGTGAATCATATACGCCCCACGTTAAACTTTCCGTTTACACCGTTTCATATTTTTTTCGTTATTTAAATATAGCTTATCATAAAATGTCGTGTAATCATGTATTGATGCTGAAATACCATGCATATTGCAGTCATCATGTCGTGGGCTGCAAACGATCTATATGGCGTGATAATAATTTTTTTAGATTCTTTTTAATTTAATTTTATAAAAGTTAACTTTGCAAATCTTGCTTTAAAAACAATGTTGAAACGTTTGATGCAATATCAGTACAAAATTCCATCATAAAAATTACATTTTATAATAATTGCAATAGGAAAAAGTCGTATTTATATTTAACATGTTTCAGGACAATACATCGCAATACACTGTTATAATTGTAAATATTTTATTCGAAAACGTACTGTTTTCACTTAAAATTTCATATTTTAGTGTTAAATATTAACAATATTAAAAAGAACAAACTTTTTTCCCTTTTTTGGCATAAAATTGTGTAAATATATAAGAATTTATGAAAACAGCCATGTTTGTTTTGTGGCGTAACTTGAACGTCGTATATTTTTCTTGCTAATACTGATTCCTGCAGTCTTATAAATATTATAATGCATACATTGTAACTAAAACTGTTAGTCTCGATAATGTGGAGTGTATGCGACCCACGCGGCATGAACAGAAAGTCGTCAAAAATCAGTCCGACAGCGAATATGTTAAGACTGGTAAATGATAAATTATCTTTGACTCCGTCTCATTGAAATAATTAATTATTTAGCTGATACATAATATCTTTTATCGCGTATATTCCATTAATGCTGCCTCATTACGGTATATTCCATTAATGCTTCCTCATTCCCTAGGCATAGTGACATCGAAAATTTTCAATCAGAGCATTAATTTTGCATCATGACTGTTGATAATTTGATGAATCGACCACGGTCCTCCAAAGCAACAGTCATAATTCACAAATATCCAAAAATAACGCATTTAATTAGAAATTTTCGAAATATTATTATACCCAAGAAATAAGACAGTATTAATAGAGTCTGCTACACGGTCAGTAACAAAAAGGTTGCAACACTTTTTTTCGATGAGTTTCGCAACACATCTCGTCCCCGATAGGAAAATATCTCTCTCGGGAATTACCAGAAATCAAATTCTCCCATTGGACACGGAATGCGTCTCGAAACTTATCAAAAAAAAAAAAGAAGTGTCGCAACCTTTTTGTCACTGACCAAACGTCGTCCTTATAACAGTTGCTATTGCTGCGCTATTTAAACGGTCAATTCGAGTCAGTGGACGCTTATCGCGAGCATTATTGCACTTTTGCAAAGTTCAATTCAAACGCGCGCGTGCTTTCGACCGCGTTTCGGATAAAGTCCGCGAGGAATAATGGATGAGGGTCGTCGTGACGGGGAAGAGAGGTCCCCGGACGAGAGCGCAAACGTCACTCGGTGCATCCGGGAAGTGGATGACTTGACGAGAAATACTAACATCGTTCGGTATCCACCGGTCCGCGTCGGGCGACATAAAGCGCGGCGGTGCGGAAGAGCGGCTAAAGCTTCTTACTCGTAAAACACGGGATTGTTCTTAAAGCCGTCGAAGTGGGCTTTTAAAGCGACCCCGAGGGCTCGACACTGGGCCGCAGATGCGGCCCGTTATCTACGGTGGCGCGTCGGCTGCAATTTTTCCTCGTATCGAGCGAGCGTGTAAACGCGCTATCGAGACGCGGAATTTCTCCGTCCGTATGACGTAATGGACGGCTTTGTCATGTTTAATCCTTTCGGAGCGGCGGCGGCGGCGGGCTTAATCCCTCGCGAGAGATGAGAGCAGGGCGACATCGCGTCCTACGTATCCCGTAATTTCCAAATAAAGCCCGGCTGATTAAACGGCCGACCGCCGCAGCCCACCATTACTTGCGCCGAATGCGCCGGCACGGCCAATTTGCCATTTATCATCGCCATCGTGGAAAATCGCCGGACCGACGGAAGAGTTTTCGCGATGTGTTTAGCGGCGTGCGAGAGGAAACATTTACTCGCACTCGTTCGTCGACTTCCTTTTCCCCCTTTGTTGAAGCAAATAATATTATTTGATCTTCCTCACTCTCCCTCCTTCCTTTCCTTCCTCGCTGCGGAAGGAGTTGTAGACAAATTAATTATATTTTCCACTTGTAAAACGCTTCTAAATTCCGCCGCTCGTTTTCATTAAATTCCGCCGAAGAGCTTTTTTATTACGTTCGCTGTTACGGCGTTTGACATAATGAAAGAGAGCGGAAGTTGATTACCGCACCTAAGATAATTCACGCGTTTGACATCGCGCGCACACGAGAACGGGGGACTGCGTTCCACCAAGTTACACCCGGCTTCTTCTTCTGGTATTTTTTTCGCGAAATAGTCCCGTTAATGATATTTCGTCGTCACAGGGTACCGCTTCGTAAGTTGTTACCGTGCTGCGGACGTAAACATGATAATGTCGGGACTCGCTGCTCACGTCAAGTACACGGAGCTACCCACCAAGGCCCGCAATCCTCTTTTACGGCTTTGTAAGTTCCGCCGTTACAGAGAGCCGAAAGTTCCCGTACCCTCGTTGTATTCTTCTTCGAAACGGTATCGCGCGCGCGCACACGATGCGGCAGTCCGTTGCGGTAAAATGGAGAGATCGTTCCGAGGACCGTCGATTCCATCGATCGTCCGTATCGCTGGAAATACCTCGTCCTAGGAATCCCACCGACGCGATCCGAACGCGATTTTTCTCCACTCGGCCCGACGAGTTCCCGAATGCCGTTTTCTCTGCGCGTCTCCTCCCCGCGCCCCCTCCCGGCGTCAAACGTCGTCGACAATTTTGCAGCGAGATCCCCCCCCCCCCCCCC